CTCCTAGTCGCTGTCTTGCCTCTGTTTTCCTGTTGTTTATAGCCAAAGCCCTGACAGTGTTGCTTTGGACTAGCTTTGGGGAAAATGGACACTTTGACATTTCACACCCTGAAATGTGGCAGCGCATGGTATTACTAGTAAACACAGTTTATTACTGCCTTGACAGCTGATGACCAAGATTCAGCCCTCTTGCCTCTGCCGGTACTGCAAACCAGCAGGGCGGTGTAACGTCATGATGTTTAGTGTGATCAAAGCTGAGCGCCTCTGTTCTTTTTATTTTTATTTTCCTGTCGTGTGCTCTTCTGTCTCCTTGTCCTTACTTTCAACCATGTAATCATGTGCACTCTATTGCTGTCATGTCCACATAGGTCTGACTATATTTTCAACTGGAGCTCTATTGATGTTCTGATTTTGGAAAGAAAGCATCATGGGGCTTTAAAATGGTAGGTAAAAGATGATAGAACAAATGGCTAAATAAATATAATAATGTGACATGTAGCATAGAGTTGTATAATAGCTGAGCTCTCTGAACAGCAGCAGCAAAGGTTAAATTAATTTGTCTGCCACATTTGTCACTAAAATATATATATCTTTGAATAAAGTTAGCATCACCAAGGCTACATTTCTTGTCAAGGCAGTGGAGATTTCAGGATGACTCATTCGTTCTGAGCCTATCTATAAGTCAGTAAGCTTTCCATTTGAATTAACTGGGAAATGTTTCATGAGGTTGTAAAATTAAATAGTGAAACTGTAAAACTGTATTTCACATCTCTACACTGGTGTACTGTCCACAGACACATTCTACCAGAGACTCCAGCTGAAATTATGACATGGCTGTAAAGGGCTCCTCCTTAAATTATACACAGGATAAAATGTAGCGTTGGGACAAGTGCTTCTGTACTTCTTTGTTATTCAGATTTCATCCCTAATTCACTGGTCATTCATTAAGGCATTGCTTTTTTCCAGTTTGTTCAGGCGATATTTTAAGTCGGCGTATATTTGGCAAGCAGATTTCAGTGAGTCTGAAATGGTTGGGATTGCTTAGAAACTGTTAATCCTTAATAATTTATCATCGGCATCATCAGATTTACTCTGGTCATCACAGTCCTGATATATTACATTAGGAACCAAGAAGAAAGCACATTATGCAAAGTGCATACATACTATACATGTGGTAAAGGACTAGCCAACAGTAGATCATACACATCTCATCTCAGCGTTTTACCTTTGAATCTATACGTTCAACTCATCCCACTGCTATACATGTCTGATGTGTGTCTCATCACTCCAGAGATATGGAATTCATTTTGGCACAACCAAGCATTTTAATATGATTGTCACTAATATCATTCATGTTGGCAAAATTTCCATTTCAGCAGCTGAATATTTTCATATCCGGTGGGACTGGGAACAGCACTTTTTCTTCCTAAAGAGGCAACAGTAATATTGCATGTCTTTTGAGTTTATGCAAAGCATCTCTCATTTTCCTCCAACAGCACTCACTCGGAGCAGCCATAGCAAATATCATTAAATGCCCTGTTAACACCCTGTCCCCTCTACACACACATACACAAACAAACACACATAAAACTACCTCTCCTTATCTCTACCCTTACTCATTTCTTCCTCTCTCTTTCTTCCTGGCTATCACTCATTGGCAGTGCATGAGGGAAGGAGAGCGCATTG